TTGATAGCATTGCCAGCTGCATTCATCGGAGTGCCATCTGGGAGGTACCCGACCGAGTTCACGAACTTGGCGCGGGGAAGCGGAGATCCGGCAACGTGTTTGTCCGCGCCGATCGTCTCCGGGTGGTTGACGGCGTTACCCGCTTTGTTAAGCGGGGTGCCATCCGGCAGGTAGCCCACGTCGTTGGTGAACTCCAGGTCTGCATAGGCATCCTTCTGGAAGGCATAGGTCGCATCTTTCATGGCCATCTTCGACCTCTCCATGTCACTTTTCGTACAACATGCTGTCATGCAGCCTCAACCTGGGACCTAGGCACGAGTCCAACAGACGATATCAGACGATTGTGCATTGCATGGCTGCACCTGGTATGCTATGGCTGGGGCGCTTTCCTGCACAATGGCGCAAGCGAGTGGGACTGGTCCAAACTCCAAACTTCTTCGCGCTAAGCCCCACAAGAGCTTAGCTCGATACACAAGCCCGAGCTCCTCCCGAAACCGCCGCAGTCCAACCCTAAACCCAGAAGCCCAGTATCTCACGGCAAAGTGGCTTCTTGCCATTCTTGCCGCGTCGTACGGAGCCCTGCAAATGCCGAACTCTCAAGGTGTCGTGTTGGCTTCAAGCGTAAAAATACATATACACCTATCATGTACATATTATATGTACATGTACATATATTATAGTAATACTGTATGTGCATATCGCTTGCAAATGCACGCAAATCTAGACAAGCTTTGATGTTGTTCGTGTGTGTGTCTGTCCAGTGCAGTCGCTTTTGTATATGTCTGAAGCTGCTTTTGCAAAAAACGACTGATGAAGAGATTTCAAGATATGCTGCATTGGGCAGTTCAGGATGGACTCCTAACACAGTGTGGCTTTCTGCCCACCCTTCTCCTGCCGCGGCCCGGTTGGATAAGTATACCGGTTACATGGTGAGGAATCTCGTGTGTTTGATGCCTGGGACTTGGCCATCGCTACAATGAACATCGTTAAGCCAGGGATGACGAAGGAAGCTCTTTAGCCCCGAAACAAGAAGTTGAAGAATAGGGCTTAAGGGGTTCGAAGTTTGGGGTTTAGGGTTTACAGGGGTTAGGTTTAGGGTTGAGTGGTTTGCGGTTTGTGGTTTGCTGGCGGGCTTATATATGATAAGTTGCACAGCCTTGTCTCATGCAAAAAGCACTGGCACGAACAACGATAACAACAACAACGGCAACAAAAGCTCGGCAACATCACCAGGAACACCATCAACAATGCCATTGGCATCGCTATTCTTATCATCACCGGTCGCGGTAGAGAGCAGCTGCAACACCATCAATAAGGCTGATCGCGAAAGCAGTGACCCCAACCCTAAACCCTACACCCTAAACAAGCAAGTATGCCAGTGACTGAAGGATGCTTCCTAGTTCCACCCCCGAATCGGAGTTTCTGAAATTCCACTTTGACTTTTTAAGGCTGGAGAACCATTGCCATAGTCGGCTTGGGGTTTAGGGTTTAGGGCTTGGGGTTTAGGGTTTGGGCCACAGTTATGCCCAAGGAAGGGAACAGCAAATGCCCAAACTCTCTCCGATAGGCTGAAATGTACTCAAGCCAGCTGGAAAATTGCCTAGACTCCCGGTCCCATGTCGCTGTAATTTATGGCTAGAGAAGGTGCCCAAAAAAGCTCAGGACCCGACAAACCGCCAACGCCCCTTAAACTGCCCCAAACAATGAGCTTGCCCGGGCCAGCACAGGGACCATGAGGCCAGCGCAGGCAACAGGAAGGGAGCTTTGCGAGATCTGCCCAGAAGAATCATGCACAGGGGTGCGATTTCTGAACCGCACCCGACGAGAACAAAACCTCAACCTCAAGCCCAAGCCTAAACCTGGGAGAAATCCGGCAGGAAAAGTTTAAGCGGAAAGCCCTGGTTAGCTAGAAAGTGAGTCCGGTGATGTCCAGGGGCCAGGATGGCCACTGCATGCCAAGAGATTCAGAAGCTCTTCGGGGAATGGTGATGATTTAGGTTGTGAGCCGAAGATCGTGCTTATGATCAGGCAAAGAAATTACTAGCACTCAAGGTGTAGGTTGGTGCAAAAAGTGTTTTATGCAGCTGGAAACGAGATTAGGTTGAAATCGCAACGTGCAGCCATGAAAGTCGGCCATAGCAACCTGAGTTTCCATAGCCCCCATATGGCTTTTTTCAACTCTTAACACCTTTCCACATCCTAAACACACCCACAAAAAAAGTATGAGTGCCAAAAGCCACACCGGCGCACCCCCAACCCTGACCACTGGACCTTCCCTACCCATAGGCTCCATTGTAGTTCCTTTTTTGGGATTGCCTTGTCGGATCCTAAAACGGAACTACCATGGAGTCATGGAGTCTATGGGTAGTAGCCCAGCTACCCCTTCGTAATAAGACATTTGCTGGGCTTCTCGGGTTAATCGTTTAGCAGTCACTGGAGGTTGTTGGAGATCCTTTGCAACAACGAATGAAAAACCACCTACAAGCCAACAGATTATCTGAAGCGTCTATTTGGGCCCCATGTAGGCAACTATAGGGCTATACCATAGGTCGCAAAGTAACTGTTCTTCTGGGATTCTTGGATTTACGGTTTACGGTTTAGGTTGCTGGAGATCCCAAGCAAACGAAGCAAACACAAAACAAAAAAACTAAAGCGAATCCCTAGAGCTGTCGACCCTCCCCCATCGACTAGAATGATAAACCTCTCAATCCCACATCTTCCAAAACTCCTTCATTGCACAATAAACTACATGACACTTCAGGGGGATCCTTCTCACGAGCTTGACTGCAATAGCTACACCCGTTAATTATGTCAAGATGTTTGATTGAGGGTTTAGGATCCAGGATTTATACAGGCAAGCCCCACCTTCCCCGGCGCGGTCTTCGTTTCCGCCTGCAGAGGCGAGGTTTTGGGGACAGGGTTAATGGGTTAGGGCTTCCGGAACAAGATGATTCGGAATTATGAGGGGTTACTGTCACTCACAGGCCAGATGATATACGTCAAGGCGGGGTTTAGGGAGTTTAAGGTTTCAACTCATACACCTAAACCCTAAAACCCCAAACCGCTAAACCCTGCACCCAGCGCCTTAAAACCGTTTTGCCCCTGGCCTGGGCAGGCACGCTCGGGCGAACTGCGGTCACTGGAGCGATGGCAAACGCCATGGAGCTGCCAGTACCATTCAAGGCCATATTTGCAAACCTCAGTGCAGGGTTTAAGGGGTTTAGGGTTGAGGGATTTCAAGGGTTCCGGGATTGAGGTTCAAGGCTCTAAGTAGGCTGCAGGGTGTCTGGGGATCTAAGAGGTGACGTCGGGGTTCAACATCCTGAGACCCAGCCTGCCATCGTAACTCCATGCGAAACCAGGGACGCGCCTATTGAACGTGGGTCTGCAACCTATAACGTCATAATTCCTAAAACAACCCTCTACTAAACCCTAAACCTGGACTCTAAGTAATGTATTTCCGCAATCCTGAGCCCGTAAGCTCAACAGCGAAACCCCGACCGAAGCAGTCAAACGAAGCAGCCCATCCCTGAACCCCGAACCTCCTTCGGCCTCAACTGTTTGGGCTTAGGGTTTAGGGATAGCTAAACGCAAAAAAATCCTATTCCAATCATTGAGGTTCCTATGTTACAGGAACTGCAAGACCCCTGCCTGCCTCCAACAGTCAAAAGCTAGCACACCCTAGACCAGGCCCCTACCTGGGCCCTGATGCCTCAATGATTCGAACAGGTTCCTTGGGGTATGTTATAGTTTCGTTACAGCAAGGAGCCGAGGAATACTGTAGGTCTCTTGGCTTTGATAAAGCAAGTATGCAAGCTCCCATGGAGGGCACATAAAGCCGATCATCACATGAAGGGAATCACCCCAACACCCCAAACCCAACAACCTCGAACCCTAGACCATGGAGAATTCAGGGTTTAGGGGCTTCAATTTCGGCAATGCCCTGGAGACCCCCTGGAACCTCAATCTGGACCGAAGAACCCAGGCCCTCAACTCACAACCCTTCTTCCAGGCCGTCCTAAACACCTATTGCTACTTGTTATGACCTCTGTATATGCCCTATGAGTGTCTAAATAAACTGAAACGCCAGATGGGCAGCTCTCTAAATTAGGTTCCTTTTTGTATGAGGGTGGGGTACTACTCTGGGGACCCAAACAGAAAACCCTTCTAAGGAAGACTACCCATATGTCAAACCCTAAACCCTAAACCGTTAGCGAGTCCCAGTTGCGGAGATCTGTGCGAGATCGATCGGGAGCCGTGAGTTCGCTTTGAACACAACAAACGCTCTGAAAGCGCGCAGAGTACGCAGTTTAGGGTTTTAGTTTTTTTAGGTTTAGGGGTTTAGGGTTTAGGGTTTAGGGAGGGTTTTGGGGTTGAGCAGTCAGGGTGGGATTCGGGTTTAGGGTGGATTTAGGCAGATGCTTCGAGGGCTTAGGGCTTACGGTTTTCGGGGCTTCACACCTCCACTTGATTGCTTGGGGGTTCGGGGCTGTTAGGTTGCAGGGAACCTCGAAAGAAGGGTTCGAGGATCCTGCGGATCTAGATTTCTAATTTACGTGGGACCGTGCTTGTTTCAGGCACATGAGGCCATCCGAATCCATGAATACCGCATTTACACACGCCTTCTGAGTCCGGTCGAAGCTCTCTAAAGCAGAGTCCAAGGATTCCCTGACGCAAATTCGGATCGTATCTTGTCTTGCTCTTGAAACAAGAGTCTAGGGTTCAGGATTCAGGCTGTAACATCATTAGATGCAAAGGAACCCTGATCACTAAAGCCGGAACATGCCACCAGTATCCAAAGACCGATAGAAACAACAGAATCCTGAAGCAGGAAATCCCGCTGGCGAGATCGTCCCACGACCGGATGAGATGCCTGAACTTCCGGTAGATAAACCCCAGAATCAGGGCCCTAAACCCAAAACCCTGTAGACCCTAAACCCCTAAACCCTACACGTTGCAGATCCGACATCAGATGCATGCCAACTTATTCAAGCCTTCTCTTAAGTCTCGGGTTTTTCGGATGTTGGGGAAGCTCGATTCTAGTTCGGCCTCATACCGCTTCAGAAGGACTCCCCAAAGACTCAAACCATCCTGATTCGTAAATAGTAGGGAAGAGAGGTTTGCTCTGGGATAGCTTTCGAAGTTGAAACCCCCACCCGCACTGGAGCCTGGTGCACCTCTGCAGCACTGAGCTTGACCAATGGCCTTGCGAGGAGTCGGAACGTGAAAACCGCCCGCATACTGGTGCCTTAAAGAAGAATGGCGTTCGATGTTAGTCCAGTGGGGTGGTGGAGGATATGGACTTGGTCCCAAACCCCACCCTTGCTCCAGCCATCTGCCCGTCGCGAGTGGCAGAAAAGGACGAGCTCTGCAAGTCAGCAGAGACTGGCGCGCAACAGTAGCATAGCATTGGTGTGGGAGCATAGTGCACGCGAGACTAGCGACTAGCGCTGCTGTTTCTCGATCCCAAAGACCTTGCTGTGACCCCGCGGTTCATCTGATGAGTTCACAAGCCCATGATGCAGACGAGTGAGTGCCGCTGTGGGGGTTCATCGTCTTAGGGCTTATATAAGGGTCAGGCTGTTGGGGCTGTCAGGGTTTGAGTTTAGGGGATGTAGGGTACAGGATTTGGGGACCTCTTCTGATAGGGAGCCCTCCTTTCGTCGGCTGTTCACACAGGAAGACTCGCTCCCAACAAGCATAAAGAACTACACTTCCAGTCCTAAACCCTAAACCCTAAACCCGGGCCTAGCCACCGCCCTGAGACCTTTAAGAAGGACCGAGAACCCGCTCGAGAACTTGCGACTTCTGGCCACGAGTTCGCCTTTCACAGGCAATGCCCAAGAACAACACAAAGACCTAGGATCTCTCGGGTACTGTAAGCAACGGTCGATAATATGGCTACCAACTAGGGACTTACATCTCTCTCTCTATAACTAGCTATCTATCTATCTATCTATCTATCTATCTATCTATATACATATATATATACATATGATATTACTTGTTCAATGTATGTTAGGCATTTGGCTTTCTGCAAAAGTTTTGTGGACTTCGTTCAGACAGGGATGCCTGACTCAGGGATCCTTGAAAACCCAATGAGGATCCTGCTACTTCGGGCCCAACTGCCTATTTCTGTAGCTCCCGAAACAAACGAGAATTCCCTACTGCGTGTAGGCTTCTATTCAGTCGGATGCTGCCACGGTGTCGGATCTCGTATCAGCACGCCCTAGACGACGGTCGGCTGTTCCAACCGTGTCAGCAACTATTGCGAAACTGCCAGCACGAAACTTTGGCGGGCTCGTGTGACATTGGCAAGCATTCGTGTGCAGATGCTCTGAACACATGATCTTTTTTCTAGTTTTCGGATGACACCTGTGTTCCCTTGAGATCTGCATCTGAAAGCTATGGCTGCCTCAAGCGATTCCGGAGCTCTTTGTGCAGAGAAAAGAATTTCGCTACTTAGCCGTTCGCAAGAGCACTAGGACCAATCAGACCGCCGGCGATAAATTGAAAGGCGCATGCGTCTAAGCACAGTGTATTCACAGAGCTCCAAGCTTGTGTCTTTGCTGTGGGGTGCGGCCATCATCATGAAGGGGCCGCAAGTCTGCACGGAACTCAACTTGGAAGGTCGTTGCTGTTATCCCTACCACTACTGCTACTGCTGCTACTGCTCTGCTGCTACAACTTACTAATGCACATCATCTCTGCAGCCTAGGCAAAGCGATAAGCTTGGAGCTAGGGTTTTGGGGTTCAGGCTTCTCCGTGCAACTGCTCGGGGTCTAGCAAAATCTCCAATCTCCAGGTGTATTTCTGCAAACCAACTTGAGTCCTTGCCGCAGAATCCTAAGCCCTGCGCTGTCACAGTGGCGGAACACCAGAAGTGGAAACGGCCTTGGGGCCCCTTGAGTGCCAGTAGAGTAGAATTTGTCAGTTTTCGTTTCGAAGGCAAATGAGAAGTGCCTATGCTCTAATCAAAAATCTGGTACACTGGTACAGCCTAAACTCATAACTTCAATTTAAAAATTCGGACTGCCCAAGGCTCCGACAAAATGGGATGAGTGAGGTCTAAAGGTTTCATGGCTACCAGGTTTGATCTTGTTCTTCGAAGAGCCCTGAACACTTTGGGGATCAGAATCTAGGGTTAAGGGTTGGGCAGTCGCCGAGTAGCTTTGAAGCTTTCGTGGCACAGTATGGCTTGGTGACAGCCACCAACCCTGAACGAACCCGCAAAATCTCTGCAAAATCCTGTAAACCAACTTACCATACCCCAAGGGGAACCCCACGTGTGTTCCACTCGCAGGGCTTCTGGTGGACGAAATCACAGGTGGTCTCATGAGGCTGGGGAGCCAGGTCTTGAATTTCAATCTTGTGTTTAGGGTTTAGGGTACTCGTTCAGGGTCTAAGGTGATCTGTCGCTCCATCAAGCTGTCTAGAAAGTTGAGCAGCAGGCTCAGGTGGCTAGTGTAGACCTGTTCCGTCCGATACCCTAGACCCAGGCGGGCTACACGCCAAAAATCTGAATCCTACGATTAGCTCTGCTGGTCCTGACAGTGATAGACGTCGAAGTTGTCAGGCGCTTGTCATCTGCCGGGAACCCTGCAAAAAGTCAAACCAGAGCCATGGAGAAACTTACACAAGACGTGTCGTGAACTATAAACTATATGGGGACCTAAAGATGCTCATGCAGCCATCTCTACAAGTTCTGCCTGATCTTCATTAAGCGAGCACCTCTGAATGGTGAGCCCCTCTGTCAAAAACTTTCACGGCACACAGACATTATAGGCCCACGCATTTAGGTAGAGGCGAGGGTGCTGCCATTAGTTAGTTTAGTGGCAGCTGGCCTGGCTAGGTCACTGCAGATTGTCTGCTCGATGGCGCTACAATCGATGAGCTCCCATGCCGCGGATTGGGAGACCCCTGTGGTGCAGAGACTTTCGCGGGCGGCTTCGTCTTCTGCGCACTTCAAGACCAGGATACTATCTCCGTGCCCGAACTTCTGAAGGTAACTAAATGGGGTTTAGGGCGTAGGGTTTAGGGCCCAAGCTATACTTGACCCGTGGAACCCCAAACAAGCTAAGCAACCCCCGATGATTTGCACTGCTCGTTACTCGCACTAGAAGACAACCATATCAAGAGTTTGCTAGAAGAAGGGGCGCGAAATGAAACTGTGTACTTCTTAAACCAG